CTCTCTCTCTCTCTCTGTGCTTTGCTTCTTTATTCTGTGGGCAGATGCTTTTCAACGTTTTTTTCTTTTTCACACTTTATTATCTTCTTTATCGTTATCGTCTGTGCACAAGCGAGCTGGTTTTACCCCGAGTTCATGCCCAACATCACGCAAGAAACACTCCGCAAACGCGCGGAATTTGTTCGCACAGGTGGCCGTGGCTCCATCCGCCGCACCGTCAAGGCAGCACACCGCAACACAGGCGACGAGAAGAAGGTGCAGTCGGTGCTGAAGCGCCTCGGAGTCACGCCGTTCAATGAGATTGACGAGGCAATATTCTACCGCCAGGACGGCTCCGTCTACTACTTCGACAAGCCAAAGGTGCAGGCCTCCATGCAGTCTCACTGCTTCGTCGTGTCCGGCCCCTACGACGTGAAGGAGGCGAGCGAAATCGCTCAGTAGACCCCGTTTGTGTGTTCGTGGGGGTGGGGTGGGTGGGGATGCAACGTGTACTCACGGACCGGGAGGACTCTCCAATAAAATTTTTTTTTTTTTTTTTTTTTTACACACTCTTTTTTAATTTATTTTTAAATGAAAAGAAAAAAAAAAAGAAAGAAAAAAAAACCTTTTTTTTCTTTTGTTTTGTTTTAAAGAATAAGTGTTGTTATTTGGTGCTGATCTGACTCTCTCTTTCTCTCTTTTTTTCTTTCTTTTTTTTCTTCTGCCCGTAAAAACGGCACACAAAAAAACACATGAATGCCGCGCTTCGGGTCCTCCTTTTTTTCCCTCACATTTCCGAAGGGAAGAGGCCTGAAGCCGCCATTTCTTCTCTCAACGCGTGCGTTTTTTTCTTTTTTTGTCTCTTTTGTGTCTGTTTTTCTTACATGGCTTGTCATGTGTGGTGTGCCCGGTGCGAAGGCAGGCAAGCAGGGAAATAGATACTACAGAAGAGGGTCATCTTGTGAGTGCGTGTGTGTGTGAGATCCAAAGAGATTTTTGGCCCAAACACATTCAACCGATAGTGTACACACACACACATTTTTCTACCTTTATATTTGTTTATTTATATATATATAGAAAAGATATCAACGGACGCGGGTACAGATGGCGGAGGAAGGACCAGGCGATCAGGAGATGCAGCAGCCAAGCATACATACATACAAGTCGGGTGCTGTATATGAGGGCTCGTTTAATGGGACAAAGCGTCACGGCCGCGGTCATTGGCACCACCCACACGGTGAGACGTACGAGGGTGAATATGTCAATAACAAGCAGGAGGGTCTTGGTATTTATCGCTTTGACGATTCCTGCAAGTGCTACATAGGTCATTGGAAGGAGGGTGAGATGCATGGTGAGGGTGTGTACTACTTTACCTCCGATCATAGTACTTTTTACGTTGGCGAGTACGCGCATGAAAAAAAGCACGGCAATGGCCTGTACTGCTATGAAAACGGCTTTGTCACGTCTCAGGAGTGGGATCAGGGCGTTCTGCAGCGAGAGGAGGAGGCAACGCCTCTGCAGCGGGTGGACGCTGAGGTGCAGGTAGAGGAACTTACGGCCGCGGTGCGCAGTGTGGCGCCGAAGGAGCTTGGCGTGCAGCCGCCACCGTCGGAGGTGCGAAGTTTTCAGTTTCCCTCCGGCGCGACGTACACTGGACAGTACTACGGCACAAAGAAACATGGTGCCGGTCACTGGGTGCACCCCGAGGGCGACAGCTACGACGGACAGTTTGAGCACAACAAACACAGCGGTTGGGGGGTCTACGTGATTGGACAAAGTGGCAAAAAATATGTTGGCCACTGGCGCGATGGAAAAATGAACGGCATGGGGGTGTATTTTTTTAACAAGCAGGAAACAGAATACTTTATTGGCTCCTACAAGAATGACGTGAAACACGGCTGCGGCCTGTACCACTTTGCAGAGCGAGGAAACAACAAGCTGCAGCTCTGGGAGAATGGCCGCCTCAAGAAAGAGGCCGACGCAGAGGAGACTGCGGTGCAGGGGTATGGCGCGGCAATGCATAAGATTGTCCAAATTGTGCGTCGCTTTGCCCCACACTACGAGCCTCTCGTTGCCCAGTAATTTTGCCGGCAAAAGCGGGGAGAGGGAAACAACTCCTTGTGGTACATATCTTTTTTTTTTTTTTTAACCCCCTCTCCTTTTTTGTCGTTTGTAAGACTCCCTCCTTCCTTTTTTTTTTCCCGCTCGCTCGTATTTGTTTACATTCGCCTCTTAGTTTTTTTTTTTTGCGTGAATTGGCGTTTATGGGGGACATTTCTGCAGCTTTTTTTGTTTTGTGCGTGCGTCATGCGCTCGCATTTTTTGTGTGCCATCTTTCTCCCGCCCTTTTTGCTCACACGCGTGTACGTACGCGCATATGCGTGTGTGTTTGTGCATGCAATACCACATGTCCACATGTGATGTTTAGGAGGGCAGAAGGCCCCTGTTGACAATGGCGCCGCTTGGAAAGAAAGAGCTCCTTCTCTGGGCGGCAGAGGCGAGCGGTATTCGACCTTGCAACAAGTACGCTGACCTGCGTGATGGGGTCGTGCTGTTGGCTCTGGCGAGTCGTCTTTTTCCCGCCACTGTTGATCCCCGTCTTCTGCGGCGTGGGCCGATTGACGTGGAGCGGAATTGGGGCGCGTTGCGGCGCGTCATGGAGCGAAATGGATTGCCGCTGCATTTGTGTGACCGTCAGGCGGTAGCCGCCGGCCACGCACGTCACTGCTTCAACATGTTGGTGCTGTTTTATTTTCTTACGCGGCTTTCGCAGGACTCGGAGTTTTGTGTGGACTTTGCGAATCCCATCGACGCCGGAATTGCGGAGTTCTTGCAGTCGCCACAGAGTCTTCTCTGCGTTGGGAAGTTGCCCGCAGCATGCGAAGAAGGGACGCAATTGGAGGAGGAGGAAAACGAAAAACGCTCGGGTGGGTCCGCTCCAGTCCCGCCACCGCCGTCATCGTCATCACCATCATCTTTTCCTCCCTTTGCCTCCGCCAATTCTTCCTCCTATCCGCTGCATGCGGCGTTGACAACTTCTTCGGCTAAGACAAGCAGTGACGCGGAAGAACCCGTGAGGAGGGGCCGCAGCGGGGGTGGCGTGGCAAAAACGCAGAGCCTGCAGGTATCGAACGCGCGGCTGCAGGAGGAGCTTGACCATGTGCGGGCCACATCACAGCTGATGTTGGCGCAACAGCGTACGCTTTTGACGAGCGAGGTGGCCCGTATGACGGAGCAGTTTGAGATACGGATGACGATGCTGCGCCTGGAGCGGGATCACGAGGTACGTCAGTGCCTGCTCGATATGAGGGAAAAGTACGACATTTTTCTTAGCGAAATAAAGGAGAATGAGACGGCAGCGTCTGCCCCGTCTTCTTCTCCATCTTTCATGGCCCTTAGGGCTCTTGAGGGCAAAGTACAAACCTATGAGCGTGAGCTGGCAGAGGCAAGAGACACGATCCAGCAGCTCCACAATGCCATCAACCTGCAGCGTGCCCGTTACGAGGGATTTGCAGAGAAGATTTCCAGCGTATGCGCCGCGGCGCCGCCCGGTGTGTCGGGTGAGGACGATTTTCTGAAGACTATGAATGCGTTGCTGGGAACGCAGCCGCAGGGGGTGCGGGATGCCGTGATTCTGCGTCTGAAGACGTTGCTTTCGCAAGTGAGGGTGCCGCCCAGCGAGGATCAGAGAAACGAGCCGAGGAAAAAGGAGGAGGAGGAGGAGGAGGAGGAGGATGGAGAGCAAGAATGTCACGGCACAAGCGGTGGGATATCGGGTGAAGGGCAGCGCTTCCGCATGCAACTGGAGGGATCCAAGAAGGCGAAACAGTTTCCACGGCAACAACACCAGGACTGGTATGCTGTGCCTCTGACGGATGGGTTGGAGGCTCCGTCGTGCATGATTGACGCGGAGACGTGTGACGCTATTTGTGCGCGGGCCAACGCGGTAGCGGAGACCCATACACCAGCCGCTTCCCCCGTACGACAGGAGCTGCAGCGTCTCGTTCTTGCCATTCAGATTCTTCAAGCACGCGTTCAGACCGCGGCGAATGCCTTGATGGCCTACAAGGAGAGACAGCAGGGCCTACGCGAGCAGTTGCTTTGCCTGCAGCAGAGTCGGGAGTTGGAGGCACGCGAACAAGAACGCACGTTTGGGGCGAGGCTGGAGGAACAGCGGCGGCGGTTGGAAGCGAACGAGGCGGCACTCACCACAAAATTACGCCTTGTAGAGGAACGCTGTTCGCGGCGGGAGTCCGTGGCGAATATGCTGCACGAGAAGGTGCGCGAAATGGTGGGCTCATTGCTGAAGCAAACCCACGTCCACGATAGTGGTGGCTTTGGTTCAGGTGACGAGAGTGGTTTGGCACTGACGGGCGTGCAGGCGGCACTGCGGCGTTTGCTGACGGACGTGGCAGACTCGCAGCGCACACGTGACTCGATGGAGGCTGCCCTTGGCGAGCTGAGCAAAGAGGTGGCGATACTGCGACACGACCTCGCGCGGCGGGAGCTGGAGGTGAAATCCCTGCAGACGTCACTTGCGGCGGTGGAGGCGGCACGGCGGGAAGAAAGGATGGAATTGTCGAAGGCAACGGCGGAGGCTGATGCATTGCGGGACGCCATGACGGTTGAAATGGACGCATGTCGTCTTTACATCAAACGGGTTGGGGAATTGATGACTATGATGGGAGTTTCGCCGCCCTCGTTGCATCAGGGCCCTCCATTTTTGGCCGTTGCGACGACTAATGATAATAATGATACACGTGCTAGGACGCCTGCGCCCCTTTCAGAGTTGAACAACGTCAATGGTATTGTCAAGGATATGTGTGGGGCAGAGCAGATCAAAGAAACGGCAGCAGCTCCAACCGGAAGGGCTTTAGTGACAGCCGCAGCGGGGGCAGGGGCGAGCACGGCCTCATCATTGCTTTCCCCTGAGGAGTTGGAGCGGCGCAAGATGGAAATCCTGAGCAAATACGGCTTCTCGAATAGAATATAGCACTGAAACGCAGTCGATGTGTATTATTTTGAAAGCAACGCGGGGTGAAATGACTAGAGCTCCTACCTATTCTTTTAGTATGCATTTTAAACACCCACTGACCTTAATAAGCGGTGGTGATATTGTCTCATTGCAGTTTTGCAGCCTGTGGAGTTTTATTATTATTAACATTTCTCTTGGTTTTTTTTTTTTTCCTTTTTGCTTCCGTAGCTTTTTTTTCTTCTTAACCCGATGTCTGTTCCGCTTCGTCGTACCGTTCTGCACAGTCTTCACCTGAGCCGCAAGGCTCGCATGGGTCCCTTTGCTGGCTACGACATGCCCATTCACTACCAGCCTGGAGTCGTGCAGGAGCACCTGCACACACGCCAGGCCGCCGGTCTCTTTGACGTATCGCACGTTGGGTTCTTTGAGGTGTGGGGTGCGGATCGCCACAAGTTTTTCGAGTGGGTAACGCCGAGCGGTGTGACGGAGCTGCAGGATGGACAGTCCGCTCTGACGCTGTTCATGAATGAGTCGGGCGGTGTGAAGGACGACTGTATCGTTTCCAAGTATTCCGATCACCTCCTTGCTGTTATCAATGCGGGGTGCAAAGGGAAGATAATAACGCACCTGAAGGATAGACTCGCGGAGTTCAAGGGTGACGCCACACTTGTTGAACTCGACCGCGCCATGGTGTCACTGCAGGGGCCCAAGGCGGCATCTGTCATGGCTCCCTTTGTGGAGGAACTTGACAGGGTGAAGTTCATGTGGGGACGTCGCAGCGTCTGCGTGAAGGGGATAGATATTACGCTGACACGCTGCAGTTACTCGGGGGAGGACGGCTTTGACATCATTGTGCCCATTCAAGATGCCGTGCAGTTTGTTGAACTTCTTCTACAGAACCCTGACGTACAACTTGCCGGCCTTGGGGCGAGAGACAGCCTGAGAACGGAGGCAGGGCTTTGTCTTTACTCGCACGAACTCTCGGAGGAAGTTAACCCGGTTGCTGCACGACTCATGTGGTGCATCCCAAAGCGCCGCATGGCGGAGGGAGGCTTTATTGGCCACGAGCGCCTTCAGACATTTGTGCAGCGCGCGAAGGAGCTTGTGCCGCGCTTGCGTATGGGAATCCTTTCTGTCGCGAGGGGACCAGTGGCGCGTACAGGGATGCCGATCCTCGTCGGTGATGTCGTGGTCGGGGAGGTGACGAGCGGCGTGCCGTCACCAACGCTCTCACGCAACATTGCGATAGGGTACATCGATCGCGCGAAGGCCCGGGCGGGGGAAACGGTGGAGTTGGAAGTGCGGGGGAAGCGGCTGCCGGGCGAGGTCACGTTGCCGCGCTTCGTTCCGCAGCGGTACTACAAGGGATGATGATGATGTTGGAGGGGTTGGCGGCCCCGTATAAGCCGGTGATTGGTGGCCGGGTGGTGGTGGTGGGCCGCACAAGGGGGAAAAGAAGAAAAAAATAAAGTAAGAGAAAGAAGGCACAAAAGAAAAGCAAATCGACACAGCGACGGAAAAGGGAAAATTGTAGGAGGTGTTGCATGTCTCACGTGGTTCGCCTGAGGAGTTCCGAATGCGAGTCGCGATGAAATACCGCGGGGGGTAGGACGCATCGTGTCGATTGCTGGCTGCTCGCTATCTTGTGGATAAACACATACTTTTTCTTTCTTTGCGCTTCTTTCTCTCTATTTTATTCCCTGTTTTTTTCTTTTTTCTTCTTTTTTTGATTGTTATCCTTCTGGTTTTGTGGTGGATCTTTTCCGTGCCGTCATTACGTCTGTGCTCTTCTTCCCGGTAACCGTCTTTTTTTTTTACTTCTCCTGCCCATCACTTTTTATTTTTATTTCTATTTATTTATTTTTTGGTGTCGTTTCGCGGATTGGCAATTTTTTGATTTGCGTGTCGTCACCTACCAGTCTTTTTTTTTCTTTCCTTTCCTTTGTTATTTGGCATGCGTGTGTTTTTGTGTGCGTAGGGCACTGTGACGCGCTGCATCTTGGTGCCAACACCCACACACACGCTCCCTTCTACGGCCCAACGTACATGTGCAGCGGGGGAGGGCGAACGTACATGTCTTTTCTCCTTCACTTCATGTCTTTTTCTTCTTTTTTCCTCCCCTCCACGTGTGCGGCAGTGGTAGAAGTGTGTGTGTGTGTGTGTAGGGCTGCGGATGGCGGCGGATAATGTGACGGAGGCTGAGCTGGAGGTGCGACTTGAGCACGAGCTGCTGCTCTGTGAGCAGGACTTCTTGCTGCGTGAGACGGAGGCAACGACATGCATCAGCAACCGGGCGACTACGGCGCGCAAGAATGCGGCAGAGACGGACATCGGACTTCTGCGCGCGTACTTGGAGGGCATGCGCCGCAAAAACAGGGCTGTGTGCTTTGCGGCGGAAGAGGGCATGCGGGCAAAGGTGCTCGCCGCAAAACGCCGGTCAGAGGAGCTTCGCCGAATTCTCTCGGAGCTGCAGAAGGAGACGACGGAGATCAGAGAACGGTGCGCATCTATTTCCATGTGAATATGTGGTTTTGCTCTTCAGCTTTTTTCTCTCGGACCAGCGGGGGCGGAATCCCCACTTTTTTTATATTTATTTATTGCTTGCCTTCGCCAATTAATAACCCCACCGGTGCGTTGCTGTTTGCCGCCGGACCGTGACGGCAGCGCACCCAACCGCTTGGAAACAAAGTGGGAGGTTTTGGGGCCCTTTTTTATTTTTGTTGCCTTTTTTATTCTTCTTTTCCTGCTTCTTTGGTCTTTTGCGAAGTGTCTTTTTTTTTTCTTTATCGCGGTTGCCGGAGAAAAAAAAGAAAAAAAACGAAGAGGAAAAGAGAAAAGCCAGACAAAAGAGGCCTGCCAAACGTGCCAGCGCAACTCGGCATCATTAGGGCGGTGTCCCGCACACACACACACACACACACACACACACACACACACACACACACACACACACACACACACACGCATTGATTTCATGAATGGGTAACGCGCTGGCAGGAGTTTGTGGGCACATCCAATGTCTTGATGCTAATTCACCACGGCACGAGCGAAGGCGTTCGCCTCGCGCCGCTTCTTTTTCCTCTCACCCATCGCGTTTGCATAAAACGCCGTTGTCGCCGCTTAAACCGGGTAGAAAAATAGCCTGTGGGATTTGTGGAATTTCCTTTAACCCGGTGGGCTTGGAAAAACACTGTTCGATGTGCCGAGCCTCCCGTGGAGTAGAGAAGGAGCAGGCACGTTCATGTTTAGGCTGCACGGGGGAAGGACTCCCTAACGATGAACCTGAAGAGTTGTGTCTGGTGTGCTTTGCGGAGAAGCGGATGTATGCTTTCCTTCCGTGTGGACACGTGGCCTGCTGCAGCTCATGCGGGAAGTTGGTGGATAGATGCCCGGTGTGCCGGGAGGAACGGTTCGGGTACTGCGTTGTCAACACCACTGCCCTTCTGCAGTTCAAGTGCCCACATTGCAAGGCCATTTTGGCGCCTGAGCTGTACGACGGGCATCGCGAGGTGTGCGCCATCCAATCCAGGGCGGCGCAGGTGAGTCACAGTGGACCCGCGACCGACGCAGAAACTCGCAGTAAAAACGCGGCTACGTCGGGGAGGAGGGCGGGGGGCGGCGGTAATCATCCACCGGCGGCGGTCCCCGCCAAACGCAGTGCGAGTAGTCACGGGATCACACTGAACTTCTGCATCGAGTGCCGGAGGGAGAACGCGCCGCTGGTCATCATTGGGCCGTGCGGCCACCGGGTTCTTTGCGGTGATTGTTTTGCGGGTCGAATCACATGTCCGGTTTGCCTGCGGGAGATCGAGCAAGGTTGGAAATCCTACATTTAGGCTCGCTGTGCACACGGAACGAGGGAACGAAAGGGGGAAAATCAAAAAGAAAGAAGGTGGGAGGGAGGGAGGAGTCTTAAGAGGAAAGTTGGCGAAAAGTATGTCCCTCAATGAAAAAGAGGGAATGAAGAAACAAAGCAAGGCAAAGCAAAGCAAAAAAATATGGGGTCAGGGGGGGAAGGGAGAGGGGAAGGGTCGATTAAAAAGTAGTTGAGAGGAAAATGGATGCGAGTTGAGAAGGAGAGAGAGAGAGAGAAGGTCCGTGCGAGTCACTGGCTGTTATTTAGAGTGCCATTCATCCTTCTTTTTTTTTTTTTTCTTTTTTTGATAAAAATAGGAGTGAGTGAGTCAGTGAGAGGTTAGAGTTGCCATGACGATACTGGACCCGGAATGTTTTCTGGCGCATGTATCAAAGTTTGAAACGTACAACATCGATTCGTCACTTTATCCACCGCCTTACGTCCTCCACGGCAGACTCCCTCACTCCAACTTTGTGTGCAGTGCGAGCCTTGTAAACTCAACCCCGTCGTGGTCTTTCTGCCACACATTTGAATGCACTGGAGGAGGGAACACTGCGGAGCCCCCGATGGTGCTGGAGTGCTACGGCAATAACGGGGAGGAGTTTGTGGGCATGTGCGCCGTGGAGTTATCTCAGTTGCTGGAGGCTTCATCATCAAAGGACTCGATCGTGGCGCTGCAGCTGAGGGACGGCTATTTTGTCAGAGGTGAGATATCGTTTCATGCGACGTTAGAGAAATTACGCTCGTTCGACATTCACATCCCACGCATGGCCATTGCGCCACATTCACCACCGGGAGCCTCCGTGTACGTGGAGCTTTCGTGCGGTTACGAAGGCAGTGACGGCGCGGTGTCCGTGACGTCGGAGCGGGTGGCGACGGAAGTCTTCGAATGGGCGCCGCTGCCGCCATTGCTGCAATGCAGAGTTACTCCCGGAACACTGACGCAAGACGGTGTTTTCGGGAAACTCTTCAGCGACTCCGGGGAGCGGCTCGGTCACTTTCGCATCGTTGTGCCCACTTCTGTCGTCAGGGGAATAACAGCACCGGCATCATTGTCAGAGGACGGAGTGAGCAGCGATCAGTTTGAGTTTGACGTTCCCGTGGAGTCAACGCCCTCGGGCATCGTGCTGCGGTGCGCAGGCAACATGACGCTTTCGACGGGTGCTTGCCCGGCGGTATGTCAGGCATCCGCCGAGGCCTCTTTCGACGCCGAGAGGAGCACAGAAACGCATGAATTTTTTCGCGGTGCCCTCTCTGAAGACCTGCAGGTCCTGAGCGAGGTTCTGGAGCAGCAGCAGCAGATGCTCGGGACGGTTCGAGAGCAGTTGGAATGGGTGCGGGATTATAAGGCCACCATCAAACAACGACTGGAGGTGTTGCGGCGCCACTCGACGGCGACGGACTCCACAGACGTTGGGATCAGGAGCCGGATTGAGAGGGAACTGCAAGGCTGCATCATGCAGCGGGAACAACTACGGGATGAGCTTGCCGCGCTTCGGAAACGCAGAGCGGCGGCCACAGAAGAACATTTGCTGCGGGTGGAGGAGCAGAGGAGGTTGCAGGAAACGCTGGAGGAGGAACAGGCAAAGGCAGAGTTTCTCCGCGAAGGCGTCAAGAAGTTGCAGCTGGAAATGCAAACGCATGCAAAGATGGAGAAGAAGCGGGAGCAGCTGCGGCTGCGGCAGTCGGAAGAACAGCAGCAACTCAACAGCGAAGATGCAGAGACACTGGTAGAGGTGATGCGTTTACTGGAACGACACAAGTGAATTGCTTCACCTTGCCACTAACGAGCCAGACGTGATATTTCCGACATTTTTTTTTAGCCATTGTGGATCCTTCCATTTAAAGACTTATTTGCATACTTATGAATTACTATTTTATTCTTGCTTGTACGATGCGTATACATGTGCGTTTATATATATATATACATGTATATTTGTGTGCCATATGCGAAGGGCGGGGTTTCTCTTTTTCTTTTTTTTTTTTTTTGTTGTCCAGGTCCATGCCTCCTCCTTTTTTTTTTTTGACACGCATGCACGCACAGTCTTCCCCTTGAAAAAAGTAAAAAAAAAAAAAAGGAGGGTAAATATAAGCCGGCAGGGCGATGGTAGATCACAGTCTCTTTGAAAGGTATGATTTGCTCAATCGGAACTACACGGGAGAACGGCCGCAGCTGGGTCCGGGTGTGAAGTGCGTACAGTGCGACGGCTGTGATCGTGTAATCACGTTCGCCGTGTTCCACAGCGAGTACGAAGGCGGCGTGGATGTATGCAACATGTGCCGTGTGGCTGCCGAGCAAAGTGCAGGCGGGTACGTGCAGTGCACAGATCGAAGACGGCGTCTTTGCTTTGCGAATCACCCGTTGTGTTTTGTTGGCCCCGCTCCGCTGCCCAAAGGCTACGAGTTGGACAAGGACGAGATTGACGTGGAGCACGACCCCGGGCTGCTGGCGAGGCGCTTCAAGAGGTCTGTTGACGTTGTCGCCCGCCGCGGCCTTGGTCGTTCAAGGAAGCGGCTGCGTGGACGACGCCGCGAAGGTAGCGGAAGTAAAAAAAACGAAAAGAAGGATGGTAACGAGGACTGGTCGACGGCGAAGAGGTCGAGGCGAGGCGTTGGCGGAGGCGTGGCAGCTGTGACGATGGCCGCCGGTGCTGCTGCGGCTGCTGCTGCTGTCGTTTCCGCTTCCGCTTCCGATGTGGCGGCGGCGGTGGCAACGATGACGCCAGAAAAAGCAGCACCACAAGTGACAGCAGCACAAGCCTCGCCATTGCCGCCGCGGGAGGAGCCGAAATTGGAAGCATCGCCACCTGCAGTTGTTACCGAGTCGAAAGGGGAGAATGGTGCAACGCATAAGGAGCAACCGCAGAGTCCAGCAGGGAGTAATAAAGACTCCGCACGGCGGATGAAGTGGGAACGCGTGGTAAACAGTCCAGTGGCGAGGTTTTTTCTCCAAATTGAGCCCCGCACCAAAAGGACCGCCGAACTCCCAGCATCCATGGTCTACCAGCCGCTATGCGTATTCGACCACGATAGCATTCAAGAGTTTTCCGTTGCCCCGAACAGGAGTTGCCGAACCACCCGTGGGTTTGTAGGCTTCACTTCCTGCAGCAGTGTTCTCTGTGTGCGCATCGTTCCAACGATGCCTGAAGTGGGTCTGTGGTTTTCAGTGATGTGCGAGGAGGATTGCTGCACGCGGCTTCACATATGGCATTGCTCTCCTAAAGCAAGCGCCACTGCCTCTTCTTTCCTCAGTCTCAGCGATGCTGCGCCTCCAGTACGCAGGTACGTTGTGCATGTGGGACGAAACGTGGCAGTGTCGATGGATTGGCTCCCTGTTCCCTTACATCGAACGGACAACAACAAGTTGGGTCTCTGCACGTTTATCCGTGGGAAGTACTTGGTCTCGACGGTTCTTCCCCGCGATGTAGTTGCTGAGAACTCAGCGGCTGTAACGCGTGGCGGCGGCAACGGTGGTGCTGATGGCGCTGGCCGCAGGAGTGGTCGTTGCGTCCACGTGGCTGCGGAGGTGTGTGGTGCGACTCTGCTGAAGCGTGAAATCGAACTTGTGGAGATTCGGTGGAGCTCCAACGCCACTTCTCTCGCCGGGACGTTTCTCTTTGCGATTGGCCGCTGCACCTCGGTGGTGGTGCTTCAGCCCACCGGCGACACACACTCGGGTAAGTTGATGTTGCAAGTGGTGCATTACATTGAAGCAAAGGGCGTCGTGGCGTCTCCACCGTTTTTGCCGTTCCTCCCATTGCTGGGTGGTGCGCGCGTA